CACTTGGTATCCAAGACCTGGATTAATGGTAAAATTGAGATGAGGATTCCAGTTCTTATATTTTTATCTAGTTTTTCTGTTTGTTTGTGTTTTTTGTTGTTGTTGTTGTTGTTGTTGTTTAAACAGGTCCTTATGCTACTGTGTGTTTGGATGTTTTCTTAAAGTAATATTTTTCCTTTTTAAATTTTGTTTACCGAAAGTGTTTATACATTGAAAATAGCATTGCTTTTACTCTAAATTACCTGCCCCATCATCTGCTTACTTACTGTAAGGGAGGAAAAATACTTACAGGGTGTCTAAATAGAACACTAACCACAGTATTTTTCTTCATAGATCAAAGGGATTATATCTGTGAATATTGTGCTCGGGCCTTCAAGAGTTCCCACAATCTGGCAGTGCACCGGATGATTCACACTGGCGAGAAGCCATTACAGTGAGTATTATTTACTGGTGAACATCTGGGTGAGAAGGATATATGCCCTACTTGAAGGTTTGCCACTTTACAAACATTTTAGTTTCCACTGCTGTTTACTTTCATCAAATAAATGAGTGGATGTTGATTGGGAGCATTAGTTAGTGGCCTTTTTCTTAGTTTCCCTCTGTTTTTCAAGCAAACAGAAGAAAATCAGATAAAGTTTTCCATCTAGTAACATTTCCCAATCCTTCAAAAGAAGTGTGTTACTGATTATTGTGTATGTATGTATATATGTGAGCTCTGAATTCTAACCCTGACCCTGAATAAGAGCACTCTTTATTTCTCTGTTGGATCAGCCATTTCCTTTTCTCCTCTCCTTAGATGTGAGATCTGTGGATTTACTTGTCGACAAAAGGCATCTCTTAATTGGCACATGAAGAAACATGATGCAGACTCCTTCTACCAGTTTTCTTGCAATATCTGTGGCAAAAAATTTGAGAAGAAGGACAGCGTGGTGGCACACAAGGCAAAAAGCCACCCTGAGGTGCTGATTGCAGAAGCTCTGGCTGCCAATGCAGGCGCCCTCATCACCAGCACAGATATCTTGGGCACTAACCCAGAGTCCCTGACGCAGCCTTCAGATGGTCAGGGTCTTCCTCTTCTTCCTGAGCCCTTGGGAAACTCAACCTCTGGAGAGTGCCTACTGCTAGAAGCTGAAGGGATGTCAAAGTCGTACTGCAGTGGGACAGAACGGGTGAGCCTGATGGCTGATGGGAAGATCTTTGTGGGAAGCGGCAGCAGTGGAGGCACTGAAGGGCTGGTTATGAACTCAGATATACTCGGTGCTACCACAGAGGTTCTGATTGAAGATTCAGACTCTACTGGACCTTAGTGGACAGGAAGACTTGGGGCATGGGACAGCTCAGACTTTGTATTTAAAGGTTAAAAAGGACAAAAAAAAAAAATCTAAAGCATTTAAAATCGAGTGAAATAACTGAAGGGCCTGCTCTTTCCATTGTGGATCACAGCACACACATACATACACGCACCCCCTTCCAATCCCCATCCCCTGTTCTCCTTCTATTGCTCCCCTTATAAAATTGATGTTGTCTTTACCAGAAAGGTAGACAAAAAAGAAGCAGCAGCAGCTCTTAAAGTGAGGGTTATTCTCATACTGGGTTCCAGCCATCAGCAGACTTCCTGCTCATCGGCAGATCCTCCTTTCCAACCTGTAACTCTGATGTGCTCTGGATCAGCTTTTAACTTTTAATAGTATATTACTGTCTTCTAAATCCCTTCTCCTCCTCTACTGCTGCCCTATGGTTCTGGCTCCTACCCCCTGCGGCACACTTATCTTCAAATACCATAGAATTCTAATCTCTGGAGGCTGGCAGCTTGACTTGGCACTTTAGGGCCCCTTAGCAGGGTGAGCTGTTAAAACAGCACACATCTCTCATCCCCTCTTCCTTTATTCCCCACTGGGTTTCAGAAAGGAAGGATATATGGGGACCACGCCCCTCCTCTTTGATCCCAGCATCTCAGTCCCCCTCCCAAACCTCCATATGGCTCTCAATGGTGCTCACTTGCTTGGAAGCAGGCTCCCAATAGGGAGAGGGCTGCCTTCTACACAGTCTCTTCGACTGTAAGACAGGGCTCTGTATCAGTGAGGCGACGAGAAAAGTCCCAGGCTAATGGCAGAAATTTGCACTTTGAACATGTGTGTTTTTGTGTTGTGGAACCTGAGATTCCTTATTTATTAACAAAGTCTGACTTTTTTTTTTTTTCTTTTTGGAGTCTTTGTTGCTATATTTTGTGGGGCTGGGAGAGAGAGATTAGATTATTTTGACATGGGATCCCTTCCATAACAGGTACTTTGAAGGCAAGACATAGGGTTGAAGAAGCACAGCCAGCCTCTGAAATCATAGCTCTCTAGTGGCCTTTAAAGAAAGCTGGTCCTCAGCACTAACAAAATCACTACAATAGCCTAGTGCTTTTTTGGAAGCCTTTTTAGGGAAGAATGTTAGGTTTGTGGTAACTAGTATGCTCTTTGAGATTTTTACAGCGTCGAGACTTAGGAATTTTGAGAGGATGAGGAGGGTTGTTCAGAATCTAAGTTATAGATAGAAGATTGTTTCTTGTGAATTTATTTCTTTTCTCTTTTTTGCCCCTACCATTTCCTTACACTTCCCTTGGGGCCCGTCTCTGGCTCCTCGCTTTTTGTTTTTTGCTTTGCTTTTTATCATCAGTTCATTCCAGCTCCCTGTTAGTGAAGGACACTGCTGTTAGTGAAGGAACAAAGTCTATGAGTCCTAAAATTTTAAGTCAAATTAAACTCTCTTTCCCCTTTAGTAACACTTCAGAAGAGGAAAAATTTCAATAGCCAAAGTTAATAATCCTATATAATAATTGCTTTGACTTTCACCTAAAATTCTGGGAATCACAATTTCCTAGGGATAGAGATTGTGTTGGGGCATGGACTGCTTATTGCTGTTCACTGGAGAGAAGAGGTAGTGTTTTTGTTCAAGGTCATATCGCCAAAAGCCCCAAATCCTGTTTTGGCTCATCTTCAGGTAAAGAGTAATTCCTATCCTGTGTGCCTCAAAAGCTAGAATCGAAGGCTTACACTATTCATTGTTTATTGTCAGAAATGCGTGATGGCTATTGCAAAGAATGACGTTTTGCTGGGAAAAAAAAAAAAGTTTGTTTTTCACAAACATGGTTTATCAATTTTTTTAAAAAATTCTTTTTTCCCAAAAAGAAGAGTAACAAAATGTCATTTCTGAAAGAGGCTTACTTTATACCCACTACTGTTAGCATTTGAGATGCCAGGGAATAGGGAGTGAGACACCTACAATCACCAGTCTCAAATGTGCTGTTGTTTCTTTTCAGAGTGTTGCAGATTTGCCATTTCTCCATAATATGGGGATAGAAAATGGCATAAAGATAGAAGGAATGTAGAATATGCTTTCCTGCCAACATGGTTTGGAGTTGACTTTGGTATATTGAGTAGATCTGAAAATACAAGATTGATTGGATGAATCTACAAAAAAGTTGTCCTACTCTCAGGTCCCTTTTATACTTTCTGACTAGCTATCATCTATATTCCACACTTAGCTTTTTCGTCACACTTATCCTTTGTTTCCATAAATTTCATTTGCAGTGGTTAGTCATCAGATATTTTAGCCTCCTACACAAAAGCAAACTGCATTTTTAAAAATCTTTCTGAGATGGGAGCAAGTGTATTCTCCTGATACCACTCTACCCACAAAAAAAACAACCAGTTAGTTTTACTAATTAGAATCTTGCTGTACTTTTTCTTTTAGGGATCAACGGCCCTCTTCATAGCTATCATTTGCCTACAATAAATTATTGCAGCAGTTTGCAATACCAAAATATTTTTTATGGACTTTATATTTTTCCTTTCGATAAAGGGATGCTGCATAGTAAAGAGTTGGTATAATTAAACTATCTCAGCCCTTTCCCTGCTTTCCTTTCTGCTCCATATGCCTCATTGTCCTTCCAGGGAGCTCTTTTAATCTTAAGGTTCTACATTTCATACTCTTAGTCAAATTCTGTTACCTTTTTAATAACTCTTCCCACTGCATATTTCCATCTTGAATTGGTGGTTCTAAATTCTGAAACTGTAGTTGAGATACAACTATTGAATATTTCTGGGAGATGTGCATCCCTCTTCTCTGTGGTTGCCTAAGATTATTTTGCATAATTGAGACTCCTTGATATGCTTCAGAGAGTTTAGGCAAACACTGGCCATGGCCGTGGGAGTACTGGGAGTAAAATAAAAATATTAAGGTATAGACTAGCATCCACATAGAGCACTTGAACCTCCTTTGTACCTGTTTGGGGAAAAAATATAAAGAGTGTACTACCAATCTAAATAAGATTATTATAGTCTGGTTGTTGGAAATGCCATTTTTTTCTCCTTTTGTGTTTTTCCCACTTTCCAGTGTACTCGAAAATTGAACAAATGTAATGGATCAATTTAAAATATTTTATTTCCTAAAAGCCTTTTTTGCCTGTTGTAATGTGCAGGACCCTTCTCCTTTCATGGGAGAGACAGGTAGTTACCTGAATATAGGTTGAAAAGGTTATGTAAAAAGAAATTATAATAAAAGGGATACTTTGCTTTTCAAATCTTTGTTTTCTCTTAATCTAGGTAAGGCATATTAAAAATAAATATGTAAAGAAGAAAAATAAAAGTTGTCTTCATGGAAGCAACTTGTCTTCCTTGATTGTACTGAGTTACAGTTATCCTAGGGGTGAAACATGTGATGCTGCTAAGCAAATCAGATGCTCTCAGAACAGGTGTTGTGTGGGGCATATTGTTGTTTGCTTTTGTTGAGAATCAGGTGGTTGATTTTTGACTGTTTAGTTCTTGATTTCTAATGCTGAAATGATATGATTCTGTTATTCGGCAAACTTGGAAATCTTGATGTTTTGACAGATTTTTCCTAGGAAAACTGGCCATATTAACCTAGTAGATGGAACATTAAGGATTATGTGAGGTTAATTTTACCCTGATAATGACAAAACCTTGATAGCTTTTAATATCAATACTTCTTCTCAAAATCGAATATTTGTATCAAGTACTGGTTTTTGTTTTGAAAAAGAGAAAACTACAATCCTTCTGCCTTCTTAAAAGCCATACTGTTGTAGCTGCCCCAGGCTGCTCTCTTACATCTCCCATTTATTGTTTACTTTTATAAATTTGCTTCTAAGATAGTATGTGTTTCAGCTTATTGGCAGTATCTGTGATATAAATAATGAAAGCTAATTCTTTCATTTAGGGATGAAATCTTTAGCCCTTACCCAATAAGCATCATTCTCTAAGTTAAATGCAATAGAATGACAACTCTCCAAGTACCTTTTAACTCTTATACTGTCATTTCAAAGTCCAGCTCATTCTCTTATTTTAAGAAGCATGTGGTATGACTGGGTAGGGGAGAAAAAAAGGAAAGCATGTTGTCACTTGAGTGAGACTGCTTAGAAATGTTACCAAGTTAGCATTGGGTGTTTCCTGTTCTTTGGAAGAGAACAGGCCTAAATAGTACCTTCCTCCTCCTCTGTAGCTACCAGGAAGGCACCATGATTGAAATAAGAGATGCTCCCTTGCTTGATTTTTACGTTTAAATTAAATTATCTTTAAAAGTACTTAAGGATGGGAGTGAAAAAATGCTGTTTTTAAAGGACTTCCTTGACACAACCTTTGTTTCTTGAACAAAATGTAAACTAGCTAAACAGAAAATGAAATTGGAAAGTCAGTGGGAGAAACAACTGTAGAATCAGACTTCTATTTAAATTCAAGCCTCGTTACTTGATTTTGTGAATGTTATTTCTTGAAGTTTCAGTTTATTATATGGGAGAAATAACATTTACCTCAGAATTATTCTGAAGATCAAATGGAATTGCTTTAAAGTATTTAGCTCACTGTCTGACCCATGGTAGTTGCTTAATAAATGGCAGCTGTATCAATAATAATTTCATCGAATGAACATTTCGCCAGCCTATGAGAAAAAAGACATGGGAAGCATAAGGGAGAGTGATAATAAAATGAACTGATTCTAAGTGTGTATGAGATAGATTACATTAGGCAGGGGTGCCATGAGGATTAGTATGATAGTGACCTTGTTGCTAAGTGCAAAAGCAAAACAATGACGTAGAAACAAGTGTGCTAAGTACTGAGTGGAGGAGAGAGATGGAGGCAGACGCTGCAAGGGAAAAAAAAAGTCTGATTAAAAAGGGCCCTTTCATTCCACAGGCACAAAAATCCACAGCCAGGAATTTGCTACCACCTCTGAGTCAGGCAGGGGGTGGGGGTGGGGTGCACAATCCCATTAGTAGAGAATGTGCAGTGGGTTTAGTCTGTGACAGTCACATTTCTTATTTGGACCAGTGTAGACAGGAGTAAACCCAGCTCACTTGTTTCCTGGGACAGTTAAGGGATGGCTTTCGCAGAGCATTCACCGCTGACCCCTCACCGTCGGGACCTCTGTAGCCGCTCTATCTGGCTAGCAAGGAAGATTCGTTCAGACCTGACTGCTCTTACGGAATCTTATGTAAGTTGCCTATTTTGCTGTTACCTGTTTTCCCTTCATCTTTTCTGATCCAGCAACTTACCATCATGCATCAGCTCCATTACCAATTGTGAAAGCTGTAATCATATAGTCATTCATATAGGTTATTTGACATGGGCCCTTCCCTTGAGGAAACCCATGTGACCTTATTTTCTTCCTTCAGGCTGTTTAGGAGATATGTTACTTGAATGAGAAAATATATATGGGGTTCTAGATAGGATTGGCTTATATGTCTTGGAGGCTACTCCAAATTGGTTTGCATATATCCTGAATACTACTAGAACAGATTAGCCATGGGCCCTCTGGGTTCTTCATAGCCATTGTTCTGAATTTTTCAGCTATGTAAATGAAAGGTTTATGGGATAGAGTACTATGAACGTGGGAGGAATTTGTAAATCCTACCAATTTCTCTTATATAGCATTAGCCACCCACCTTTTAGTATTCTGCATCAAAAGTAGAGTACGTCTAAAGAGAAAGGATCAAAAGGATCTCCTAGAAGATTCACTGGAGATTTGTGGAAGTGTCGAATTCTTGAGCTAACTGTGGAGTTCCAGATTTGTCTTCTAATAGCCGGGGGATCCCCATCAATTTCCACCTAAGATATGCTGTGGAAATACTCCAGCCCCTGTGGAGAGTTTTGAATTTAGGCTCTCTGAGAACTGATTTATCTTTGTACATCCTCACCAGACAGAATTCAGACTCTCTGGGAGTGCTCAATGGGGAGAGCGAAGTTAGAGAAATTCTACAATGGCTATATTCCAGGGCTTCCTAGTTGTGGCCAGTGTCTACAAGTATGTTTAAAAATACTTAAACTTTAATATGATTAAAATATTCCAGTTAGAAAGTTTGAAGTGAGAAGGAGAAATTCTTCTAAATCAGTTTTCAAACTTTAGAACTCAATGAAATCTGAACATTCTTCCAAGAAAAATCCATAGGTACTCAATTTCAGGGAGTACTGGGTATTTCTAAAGCGCAGTCATGGAGCTCAAATGAAGAGTTCCTACTGTAGACCTATTATTTACTTTACAGCTTGGATCCTTGGCCAGAGAGGTGGGTGAGATTTTGTATGAAATTTAGGAGTGATTTAAGGACATTGGGGTGATTACAGAAGATGTGGTGTTTTCCTGTATCCTCGGCCAGGTGAAGCATCAGGGCCTGAACGAGAACATCAACCTGGATTCTGTGGATGGGGTGCCAGTGGCAAGCACTGATCAGTGGAGTGAGCTGACCGAGGCAGAGCGACTCCAAGAGAACCTTCAAGCTTATCGTACCTTCCATGTTTTGTTGGCCAGGCTTTTAGAAGACCAGCAGGTGCATTTTACCCCAACCAAAGGTGACTTCCATCAAGCTATACATACCCTTCTTCTCCAAGTTGCTGCCTTTGCATACCAGATAGAGGAGTTAATAATACTCCTGGAATACAAGATTCCCCGCAATGAGGCTGATGGGATGCCTTTTAGTTTTGGAGATGGTGGTCTCTTTGAGAAGAAGCTGTGGGGCCTAAAGGTGCTGCAGGAGCTTTCACAGTGGACAGTGAGGTCCATCCATGACCTTCGTGTCATTTCTTCTCATCAGACTGGGATCCCAGCACGTGGGAGCCATTATATTGCTAACAACAAGAATGTGTAGCAGCCCCTTCTCCCTTGCTTTCTCTTCTAATGGAATATAGATAGTTACCTGGGGCCTTGCTTTCACATCTTAAATTTCTGAAAACGATTAAGACTACAGGCACTTTCTTTCTTTCTTCTCTGACCACCTGCAGCCTGTTGAAGGACTACAGGCATTTTCATCAAGTAACATTGGAGACATACACAAATGGGCATACAAGTTTAGCCTGGGGGGGTGTGATTGTGTGCACGCGTGCACGTGCTACAGGTGTAAGAGTGGGAGCAGGAAAAAAAAAAATATAATAAAATAAAATAAAATAAAAAATAAATAGCCGGGTGAGATGGCGGGCGCCTGTAGTCCCAGCAACTCGGGAGGCTGAGGCAGGAGAATGGCGTAAACCTGGGAGGCGGAGCTTGCAGTGAGCTGAGATCCGGCCACTGCACTCCAGCCTGGGCCACAGAGCCAGACTCCGTCTCAAAAAAATAAATAAATAAATAAATAAATAAATAAATAAATAAAATAAAAAAAAGAGTGGGAGCAGGGACAACGTCCTTCCACTTCAGGGTTCTAATCTTTCTAACCCTCTAAGTAACCTCTACAGGCATTTAACAGCCTTACAGACAGAATATACATATGTTAATTCTAGTTCTGGATGACTCGGTCTGAGAAGATTCAATTTAAAATCAGACTCTTTAGTCGATTTAAACTCTTAAGAGAATAAAAATAATAATGGCTAACTTTTATTATCTACTATATTGAGGCAATATGCCAAGGGTCTTTATGTATATTATGTACAGCTTTTACAACCTTGTGAACAAGGTGGTGGTGCTCCCATTCAGTAGATGAGAAAACAGGCTCACAGAGATTTGGTTAAGCTCACACAACTAACAAGTGGCACACAGAGTTTGAACACAGATCATTCTTGTAAAGCCTATGTGCCTTGCACTTTAGAGGCTTGGTGATGAATCACTGCACCTCTTTGTCACAGGGTGTTGGAAGATGCATCCGTGTAATCTGTTCCCGTCGCTGGAAAACAGCTGCCATTACATGTCCTCAGAAGTCAGTTGCGAATTTTAGCGTTAAAGTCAGGATTTGTTTTTCATACTTGGCAGTGAAGAGGGCAGCTGGAGATCTTAAGATTCCATTTTGGAAAATGATTAGGCCCACCACACTTCTGAACTTTGGAAGCTGGGGATGTTTAGTAATACAGCCTGATTTTAAAGTGCTCACTAAATGTTCTCGAATATTGGGTTGGGCACAGCTTATACCAGGTTACCTCACTTTTAATTAGTGAGGCAGGCAGTGTAACCCAAGCATTTGTGAACAATGAATGGAATACTAAAGTTAAAAAGTCATCAAACTTTCACCTCAAATTATCTGGACTTAGTCATGAGGAGAGGGTGAGGCCCACTCTGTTCCTACTGGAGATACCAGAGACTCTGAAACTATACAGTAAAGCTTCTGTGCTGTGTAACAAAGGGGCAGGCTCTGCTTTTAATTTCTTGTAAGAAGCACACATAGTATGAAAGGTTGGTCAATGTGGACATTAATGGAAAAGGCCATGTACTGGGTGGTGCGATGTGAATGCAAAAATTTTCAAGTGTGTCTATTTTATACTTATCAATTAAAACTCAAGATCATGGATTGGGAGACCAAGTTAATTTAATTAATTGGGGCTTCTGTATTCATAAATGAACCATGAGTCAGGACTAGCTCCCATAGGTTTCATGAGGTGTGGATGAGTAGCTTAGCTTGTATCCTTTCTCACATGGGTGTGTGTACAAAACTCCATGAAGTCACTATTACCAGAGTACTCTGGGCTAGGCATTGTAACAGTTCAGAGAAGGTAAGGCCCTGCTTTCTAGTATGCATTTGTGGCAATATGGTTGTTTGTGTGTATACACACACACACACACTGTTACTGTAATCAGTGATGCAGACAGTGTAACCCAAGCCTTGTGGACAGTGAGTGGAATACTACTCAAGTTAAAAAGTCACAGAACTCCTTCACCTCACATTCTCTGGACTTAGTCATGAGGAAAGGGTGAGGCTCACTCTGTTCTCACTGGAGATACCAGAGATTCTGTAAACACACACACAAACACACACGCACATACACGCAGTCGAAATTATAAGTCTTAGGTTTGTTAGGAAGCTAAAGGAAGGAGATCAACAGGGCCCCAAAGTAGTTTCCTGGAGGAAGTAGGAGTTGTGTCTTAATACAAAACTACAAAATACTCTGTACTGGTTGAGTACAAAATAGAAGTCATGAGAGAAGGGAAGAGGTGGTCATTTGTAATTTTGGCACTGAATGTGTAGTCTTATTCCATTCAAACTTTGTCTTAATCATTTCTTCTGCTCAACAGCAGCATTCTCAAATAATGAAGTTTCTGCTTATTAATATAAGATGTTGTCCTCATACTCCCTCCACCAAACAAAAAGTTTTTAAAAAATGAGTGTCCCCTCTCCAAGTGTTTTTATGTTCAACAGGTATAGCAGCAGACATCTGTAGAAGTTTCAGAACTCAGTGGAGCTTGGCTTAAGCTCTCATGAGTTGCATATAAAGGAATATGTATGTATAAGAGGTGGACTTGAAGTGGCAGAGGGTCCACAAAAGGTACAAGTACTAACCATTGAATGGGAGGAGATAGAAAAATGTGTAAGTCACAATTAAGGCACAGAATCACCAAGTCTTTACCAAGTGCGTTTTCAGCACTTTGCAAAACGCTGTGTATTTGTCTTTCAAGAAGCATACAATACGCACCCAAAAGAAGTGTGGGGAAAGCTAATCTTAGAAAACAATACGGGGGAAATGATCAGTAGGCCATGCCACAAAAAGCAACATGTATGAGATCTGAATGTGTAGACATTGCATCATGTTTATTTGAAATGAATAAATAGAAAAAGGGACTGACAATGGATTAGTGTTCTAGGTGTGTGTCTTATAGTAAAGAAGAGGATAATGATGACACTATGGAATTATGTTTTTTTAGGGATATGGAACCCCAAGAAGATTTTGTTCATTAGGTTTTATTCTCTTGATCTGATACGGACAAGATCTCTGGGAAATCATACATGGTATAACTATATAGATCGAATTATAGTTTAAGGTACATAGATTTAGTTTCTAGCCCTAACTCATTTTGTAAAAACAATTTCTTCTGCCTCCTTTTCAGAGAGTACCTTCTGAAAAGTCCTCTCTGTGGGTAAAGAGATCCGTTTTCCTGAGTCAAGTAATTTCATGGATGAGAATTTTTCTTGTATTCATGTAAGAGGTGATTTGGAAAAGGCTTGCAAATTAGCACAAATTTGAAGGCCAAACATGGAATAAAATTAGCCTTAAGATAATCAGGTTTAAGTGAAGTGAGAGTTTTAATAAAAATGGAAAATGTAAAGTCATAGCTCTGGTATTGCTGTTATTTCAGGCTGCTATGGATTAATGCCCAAAGGATGACTCATTGTTGTGATCACTTGTCAGACAGGGAGAGGACTAGTAAATATTTCAGGAAGACATATCTGAAAAGTTATTTAGATTGAATTTTGTTTGTGAATCCTCAGCTCCTCATGCGGTACCTGAGCATCTCTGTTAAGGGGTGAAATAGAGACACAAGAAGCAGAGAGACCTCCTCCGGGATGCAAAGGGGATTGGTAAAGAGGAAGGGGATGGGGAGGGAGTAGAATTTGGATTTCACTTCAGTTGATTCTCTGTGTGTGTGTGTGTGTGTGTGTGTGTGTGGTTACTAATGTAGTTTTTAGGTCAGGACATTTCTTTAAAAGAATGGTTTGGCCTCCTGCCTCATCCCACCTCCACTGCAAGCATCAGACCCATCCAAGAATGAGCTCTCTGAATGTGAGTACATTCAAAAACCGAAAAATGATAAAAACTTCATTTCTTGGCTTCTATAGCACTCTGAGAACTACAGATAAAGACAGAATAAGATAATTTGATAGTCTGATGAAATGTCAGGGTGTGAGATAAAATCTATGTGCTTGTGATCCTTAACATAAAAGATTGGATCAATCTGGTTTGAACACATAGAAAACAAAAGATGCAAGAATAGCTAACAATAAAGTTCTTTTCTTAGCAATACCATGAGTTACTTCTTTTCTGTATCTTTGGATGAATGAGGAGAATTTCAAGTGACTTCAGCATTGGATGAAACATAATCCTCCCAGCCAGGGCCAGGCTCAGTCAAGCGTGCTGAGTAAATCTCCATGATGCCAGGCCACTCACACTGGGCAAAACTCCCAGGGCCATTCAGCCTAGAAAAGGTAGATTGCCCCTATATCACCAGGCCAATGCTTTGCCCTCTGAATATGTAGTCCTAACAGCTAGACTGCAGATGAAAAAGATTTCCTTTTACATGGCTTAATTGACCCCCCCCCCCCACCTCCCACAATTAAGCTTTTGACTTCAAGAGAAGAATCCTGACTAGCCCATTTTTAGTCGGGTTGGAGGTAGAAACCAAATTATTGAAAATCACATAGAGGAAAATATGAAACAGTTACTGAGAGACTCTGTATTTCTATCTACATATTTAGGATTGTATGAAAGGGAATAATGTAACATGTCAAGCAGCTCTGCACTATTTTATATTATTTAATCCTCTGACATATTATCTCTTAGATGAGGAAAATGAGAATGAAAATTAACTTGCCCAAATTTCCTCCTCTAGCATCTGACAGCGCTGGAGTCTTAATTCTGACTCTAAAACTGACTTCACTACACCTTGTGCCATAGGACATCTAGTAATAGAAATTCTCTTATTCTGAAATCCATTCTCTGTCTCTAATCCACTCTCCTTGGTTAAAGCCAATACAGACTTGCACCGAATTTTGTTCTGTAACAAAGTCTATATAAATTTCTAAACTTTGAGACAAGTCACTCTTTTTCTGAGCTTCCTCATTTATGAAATGAAAATGATGAAAAATAGCTAAGTAACTTCACAGTTGTTATAGACAAATTGAGTATCTGAAATTACTTGTAACTGACATACAGACATCACCAAGTATATTTAATGCCTCAGGTAGCTTGGATTCACAGAGTGGATTGAGGAGCAAGCTCTGTATCTCAGAGAACACTACCTGCTTACCAGGAATGATCTGGCCACAGCCTCGACTTCACCCTATTGTGTCTATTGGCTTTTGGCCACTGGAGGTCGACCCAGTCTCATTCACAGCCTCCAGGATTCATCCACCTCCCTGGAGAGTTACAACCCAGGCTGTTCACCCAGGAGGCAGCTTCCACAGTAGGCGGGGTCAGAGAAGTCCTGGAGAAGCCTGGTAGGCTCCAGAGGGAGCCAAGGAAACATGCAGACTAAGGAGTTGCCCAGGATACATTAAAGCATGTATTTAGACTTAGAATCATCCCACCATATGCCTACACCCTCCTGTGAATACCAGACGGAGCTCAAACTTCATTTAGATCAATCTCTTCATTAAACACAGCAAGAAGAAGCCAAAGAGGTTCAGCAATTTGCCCTGGCATCCCAGCTAGAAAGTGGCAGAATGAGACCTACAGTCCATGGATCCCCCCACTGCACTTTCCTGCTTCTCCATCAAAGCAACCTCATTTTAGGAAACATGTGGTAAGTCTTTCTTGCTCTCTTGTATGCAGCGCCCTCTAGCTCCCTCACCTCTAATAATCCTTTAGGAGCTCTAGGAACAGCACCTCATGATCCAGACTTCTTTTGCCACTCCAACTGCCACCTCTACTATAATTTGAGGGTGTTATATTTCATCCCTCCCCTGATATGATGGGGGAAAGATGTGGCCCATTCTGAGGAATGCATTCTGAGGTAATGGCTAAATATGTTACTCCTTTCAGGGTAACAGTTATTTGAACAAGGCACTCACGGGAGCTTTTTAAAAATAATATTCTGGTCTGGGCACGGTGGCTCGCACCTGTAATACTAGCACTTTGGGAGGCCAAAGTGGGTGGATCACGTGGTCAGGAGTTTGAGACCAGCCTGACCAACATGGTGAAACCCTGTCTCTACTAAAAATACAAAAATTAGCCGGGCGTGGTGGTGTGCACCTGTAATCCCAGCTACTCAGGAAGCTGAGGCAGGAGAATTGCTTGAACCTGGGAGGTGAAGGGTGCAGTGAGCCGAGATCGTGCCATTTGCACTCCAGCCTGGGTGACAGAACAAGACTCGATCTCAAAAATAAATAAAATAAATAACATTCTGAAGCAGGTGTCTTCATGTCAGATCAACCCTTCTTCCACAGGTAAGGTAAAGGCTTAGGACTAATTTCTCTAAATCCCTGACTCCTGTCTCCAAAGCTTGGGATGGAGGTAGGATTGGAGGTTACACAAACGATACAGTTTGGCTGTGTCCCTACCCAAAATCTCATCTTGAATTGTAATCCCCATAATCTTCACGGTTTTGTTTGTTTGTTTTTTTGTTTGTTTGTTGAGACGGAAGTCTCGCTCTGTCGCCCAGGCTGGAGTGCAGTGGCCTGATCTCAGCTCACTGCAAGCTCCGCCTCCCGGGTTTACGCCATTCTCCTGCCTCAGCGTCCCGAGTAGCTGCGACTACAGGAGCCCGCTACCTCGCCCGGCTAATTTTTTGTATTTTTTAGTAGAGACGGGTTTTCACCGTGTTAGCCAGGATGGTCTCGATCTCCTGACCTCGTGACCCGCCCGTCTCGGCCTCCCAAATTGCTGGGATTACAGGCGTGAGCCACTGCGCCCGGCCAATCTCCACGTTTCAAGGGAGAGACCAGGTGGAGGTAATTGAATCACGCAAGCCCATGCTGTTCTCGTGATAGTGAGTTCTCGCGAGATCTGATGGCTTTATAAGTGTGTGGTAGTTCCTCCTGCATTCATTCTCCTTTCTGCTGCCTTGTAAAGAGTGTGCCTGCTTCTCTTTCACCTTCCGCCATGATTGTAAGTTTCCTGAGACCTCCCCAGCCATACGGAACTGTGAGTCAATTAAACTTCTTCATGAATTACCCATTCTCTGGTATGCCTTTTTAGCAGTGTGAGAACAGACTAGTACAACAAATAACTTGAAAAGACACTGAAAAAAAAAAAAAAAGGCCAATATTCCCAGCCAGGTTCTAAGTTCTAAAGCTCAGTCTTTTGAAAGTTTCCTGCCCTACTCCAACCAAATTTAGCAATACATATTGACGTCTGCTTTAGGCCAGTACTAAGAGTGCAGAAATTAATAATAATAGTAGCAAATATTTATATGGTGTTTACCATGTTCCAGTCATTGTTCCAATTGCATGCATTAACTCATTTACGCCTCACAAGAACCCTATGAGGTAGGTACAAAGTACTTTGATTTACAAATTAAGAAACCAAGGCCCAGAGAGCGGATAGGTCTCTGCCCTTGAAATGCGGTCTCGGGGAAGCAGATGTACAATTAACTGCGACAGAAGTCTGTGCAGTCGGTAGTGTCATGTGGGCAACAACAAGCTGTGGAGGGACAGAAGAAGGAAAGATCAAAGAGGGGACCTCTCAAAAGGGGCAATTTGGGAATGAGGACTTGAAGGGTGACTAGGACTTTGCCCTCAGGAAAAAATAGAGAGGAGTGGGAAAGAACCTTTTAGATAAAAGAAGCAGCACTGCACTTGTCAAGGCTTGGCTGCTGAAAAGCGTGTGGCACCTCTGGGACCATTCAGCATGACTAAAGTTCAGAGCTCTCAGCTATGGTAGAAGACAGGTTGAGATGAGTGAGGTGACAACACCCTGAGGAGAGAATCTATGAAAGGTTTTGGAATGGGGAGTGCCAGCATCTACACTTTGTTTCAGAAAGGCAATTCATTTATGTCTGTATGGGAGGTGAGAGTGATTGGAGGCAGAGGAACCCATTAAGATGTTGTAATGCTCAAGGTAAAAAATGTTTTAGTTATTCGTGGAAATGGTAGAGGCAATAGGAGACAAAGATGAGCACACATAGTCCCTGACCTCTTAAAATGTGCATTCTGGTAGAGGAAGGCCAGCGACACACAATAGTACAATTTAGAAGGTGATAAGAATTATATAGGAAATGAAAAAGGTGATAGAGAATTACTGAAAGTAGTGGCCATTAAGGCAAAGAGTGGAGAACCCACAGGGACAGTTGTCTAGGGCCTCATGGCTCTACACTCAAATCACGAGCTGCTCAGGAACTTCCCAGCAATGTCCCAGCTAGTAAAGATCTAGGCGAAAGGGGAGCAAAACTTGGACTGGGAGATTTAATTTTCTATGGTGTTCTCGTTGGTAAAGCCTTAGCAACAGCCAGTGTGAGAGACTGTAATACAAGCATAGCCTGTTCTGTAGGCATTGTTGGTGTATGCCTTTTATTGTTACTCTGCCATTTTTAAGAAAGCTTTACCATTTTCCTTTTCTTTAATTCTTAAGAGTTTACATTTTCCCTGATGAGAAGGAGCTAGCCATGAGTGGACCTTAGTAGGAGAAAGATAATGTTAAGTACAGAGCCCCAAGGCAGGAATGAACTTCCTATCTTCAAGGAACTGAAGGAAGGCCAAGTTGGTTGAAGCCAGGTTAGTCAGGTGAGCAGGGGAACAATGCCTGTGCCAAGGCCCTTGAGCCAAAGATTATGAAAAATACACCAGCTATTAAACAGCTGGGTTTATTGTTGCAAAGAGGAGAAATGTATACCTTGGGGAACACTGAGGTGTCTCATTAAGAGTGTGTTAGAACCTATTATGGGATTTAGGCTTTGGGTGATTCGGGGGTGGTTCTAAGGAAGCAGAGGTTTGCTCTGGATTGGATGCTGTCAGAAAGTGGGGGCAATTCTATGGGTATTTTGTGAGTTGTGCATGCAGTGATCTTGTTTTTATCTGTGCTTAGACAAGACAAAATTATGAGGTGACCTTGTTTTGTTTCATTTTGTCATGGTTTCCGAGTAACTTTGTGTGAGGTTGTTATTCTATAATACTGTTTAGATTTTTTAGGCTCACTGGGCTGTGAGCCTCAGACCAGCTTCTAATAATATTGCAGTCAAGCTGTAAACAGATCAGTTTTGGACATCAAGGGTACATTTTTTCCCTCCTCATTAGTGACAAGCTTATGTACAGAAAGAGATCTGGATTTTATTCTAACAGCTGAGCACAGACAACAGGTCAGTGTGTGATTAGTATTGCCACCTGGATAACAAAGAGCAGCTCTTAGATTTAAAAAACAAAACCAAGATATGCAGTGTTAGAATTGCTCTTCGACAGTACTCAATCCAGAGCAAAGCCACGCATCATTAATTCATTCCCAGAATTAACTAACCCTACTCCAAATCCTACAGCAAATCCCTCCTAACACTTTCTCACGGGGGTGCTCCAAAGTCTCCCATCGTGTGCCCTCTCTCCCTCGTTACAACAAGCAAGTAAACCCAATTTTGTCTAACTATGGACACTGTCCCAGTGGTTCGGGCTAAACTGCATCAACACTGCAAAAAGGAACTACTGGAAATTATCTAGTTTATGACAGCCCATCTCTATGAGGTAAAGCAAACTATCACCAGGCAGGATGGAATTTGGACCAAGAGAAAGGCTAGAGGAATGAGACTGGGGTTGAAATAAGGAATGGGCCTGGGAGGTGGGTTTCAGAGGTTTACCGGGTCTCCCTCCACAGCTACTCAGCTCTGTACTCATTTCTCTTTATTTTTAAAAATATAGGCTGGGCGCAGTGGCTCACGCCTGTAATCCCAGCACTTTGGGAGGCCGAGGTGGGCAGATCACAAGGTCAGGAGATCGAGACCATCCTGGCTAACACGGTGAAACCCCGTCTCTACTAAAAATACAAAAAAAATTAGCCGGGCTTGGTGGCAGGGCACCTGTAGTCCCAGCTACTCAGGAGGCTGAGGCAGGAGAATGGCGTGAACCCGGGAGGCGGAGCTTGCAGTAAGGCCAGATTGCACCTCTGCACTCCAGCCTGGGCGACAGAGCGAGACTGTCTCAAAAAATAATAAAATATATAGTGTTTTATGTAAATACATATCATATACAAATTTGAAAAATGAGTTATTCAAGAGGGAATATAAGGACAAAAAAGAAAAGTTGGAACTAAGATTGAGTTTAGCAGCAAAAATGTTGTGGAAATGACCAAAATTTGGTTCTAAGCTTTCTAGAAGTCAAAATAAGGCAGAAGACCTCTTCATTTTACATAACTTCCAGTATCCAATAGAGAGCAACAACCCAATTGTCCAAGAGGAGCTTGTTCCAGAGAAGACAATGTGTAACGTCCAAGGAACAGCTCTAGGCCAGGAGCCCAGCAGGCTCCATGCTATCATCAGCTGGGGTGGAATTACTGCAGCCCCTCCACCCGGTTACCCAAGGTTCTCAAAGGAACTTGGAGACCCTATGGTTACACATGCTACCACCTCCCCCTTTCCCATTTCTTTTGTTTATTATTTTTTGGTCAACTTGCACAGAATATTTTGAGGCAGTGAAAACTAAGTTTTATTCATGTTTGTATTTATTATAGCACTTACAATGGACAAAAATGGGGCTCAAAACTGGTTTATGAATGAAATAATAATACACTTAAGAGTCCAAGAGGGGTGGGTCATTTAAAAGAATTTGATAGCTGGTTCCTATCACCTGACCTTTTTCTGGTTTTCTCTCATTCATTCAGCTAACT